GGCGCGAAAGGGTTGCAGATGCAGCCACCAATCGATCCCATCCGACCAAGGCAACAGCGGCGCGGCGGCCAGGAAATGCACCGGGTCATGGCTGCCGGCGGCCCCAACTCCCAATTGAACGACGGGGTCGGCCAGTCAGGTGGAGTTGAGATGCAAAGTGAGCTGCAGGGTCGACTACCACCATGTCCTCCGATGGCAGGCCTTGCCGGAGACAATGATGATCCCCTGGCGGAGCCGTACTCTGGCAGCTACGCCCCCTCTGCATCCTTTGAGGACATGGCCAACGGCAACACTTTTCTAAATGGTATGAATCTATAACCTGTAATCATATGCATCACCATTTTGTGCCAACAATATAACACTTAGAATCCCGAAAACAAGAAAGATTTCTTGATATAGTCTTGGATTAGCTTTTTGAGCCATTGAGAAACAATTTATCCTACAAAGCTGAGGGTGATGTAATTAATGCTTTGAAGTGCTTTGATTTGTTGAGGCTATTGAAAGTCCATGCCATTGTTTTGGAGTATTTGTTGTTGAGGTGACCATTAACTTTAAAAGCTGTGGGACTGAAGTTTTACCTACTTTGTTGTTATTCTTTTCCTCTGGATTTCATGCAGAAAAATGTCTGTTCTTTGTGCTCTTTTGTAATCACTAATTCCGGCAATTTGTGCTTTGCTTGATGAGAATCAAAGAATCTTGAAGCCTTGCATTTGTCAATCAAATTCATGTTTAGTTCTATGAGTCTTGGTTTCTGTAATGATTTGAGTTACCTTGCTACTGTTCAGTGATCTGTAAAAGTAATTCTTTGATAATGTGTTGTTGATCTGTTAAAAAATGTGGCCATAGCCCGTTTCTGTTTGTTCTGTCTTTAGGCTTTGTCTGAAGAATTAACACTGGTTAAATGCTTGCAGGAAATGGATATTTTTCCAACATGATGGTTGAAACCAATCTAGGGGATTTTGATAATTATAGCAACACGAATGCTGACCATCAGTCACAAGCAATGCAAGTTAGTCCAGCAGTCCCCTCTGCGAGGCCAAACCACAAGAGATCAAAGAATTTCAGTGACCACGAAGATGAGGTTTTGGTTTCAGCGTGGCTGAATATAAGTTTGGATCCGGTCGTAGGAAAAGATCAAAAAGGTGGCAGGTATTGGTCTCGTATCTGTGACTATTTCCATGAGCACAAGACGTGTCAATCAACGCGTACCATTAATTCTCTAATGCACCGGTGGGAGACCATACAGAAATGTGTGAACAATTTTTGTGGATGTCTAACACGGATTGAGTTAAGGCGTCAAAGTGGTACTACAATGCAAGACAAGGTAATTACTCACTTGTCTAAGATGGATTTGTTTCGACTATTTTTATTATATCTCATAAATGAATATAACTTGGATATCCCTTGGATGTTGGTGTGTGCAGGTTGCAGAGGCATGTGCTTTGTACAAGGCCGAAGACCAACATAACAAAGCATTTCAGTTCATGCATTGCTGGGATAAGCTAAGAACACAACCGAAATGGCTTGCTAAACTTGATGAATTGGCTGCTGCAAAAACATCTAACAAGAAGCAGAAGACAAGGCCTAATGCTGATCCGAGTGCAACTGTACCAAGTGAAATAGGACAAGATGCAGTTGAAAACTCAGATGCTAATGCGTTGACAAGGCCAATTGGTAAGAAGAAGGCAAAAGCAGCATTGCTGCAAGAGAAGAAAAAAAGTGTGACAGCAACCTTAGAAAATATGTGGGCACAGTTAAAAGAAACTGATGAGGAGAAAGAGCTAAAGAAAGATCAGAGGTTCAACAAAGCATTTGCTCTAGAACAGGAACGAGTTGAAAATGAAAAACTACTTCTTGAGGTGAGGAGACAGGAGGTCCAATTGCAGAGAAAGAGGGATGAAGAGAGGATTATGACCATGGACCTTAGTGCCATGCCAGATGAGCAAAAGAAATACTACATGTGCTTGCGGGCTGAGATCATGAGCAGAATATTTAATTAGAATTCTATTCTTCTAAATAGTACTAGTAGCTACTGTGATTTTTTTCCCATATGGTACTGTGTGATGTTTGCCAATGAAGAGATTGCAGATAACATGTTATTTAGGAAGATTTTTCATTAGCAGAGCATTTCAGAATTTAACTGTCATTTGGGATTTTCTGTTTACAAACACATAAAGCTGTCTTCAAGGATTAATCTGTATATCATGTTCTCTGTAATTGGCAGAGCATTTCAGAATATTTTTTTTCATTAGCAGAGCATTTCAGAATTAATCTGTCTTCAAGGATTAATCTGTTTCAGAATTAATCTGTCTTCAAGAATTAATCTGTTTTTTTTTTTGTTTACTACAAAAGGGATGCAAGGAGAAGAATGTATGGGGATTAATTTATTTTTTAGCTACAAAAGGGATGCAGAGGATTAATTTATTTTTTTAATATATATATATATATATTATTTATTTTTAAATATTTTTGCAGTGTACTGCATCAATGCAAGGAGAAGAAGGCAGACAAGGAAAGTGTACACATATTAACTGTAAAAAATTGCAGCAGCTACAAAAGGGTCCCCATACATTCTGCAAAATGGACTTATCACTACAGAAATTTAATAAAGCATCAGCAAAGAGAAATTTAAAGCTCATTGAGTTCAAAATAGCAGAAATACATATAAAGCTCATTGAGTTCAAAATTCAACAGAAATTTAATAACAAATAGTCACCAACTAATAATACTCATACACAGGTGCTTAGCATGGAAGGAGAAGGTAAAACACACCAACTCAATAATACTCATGAACATATAAAAATATAATCATTTGTACAAGTCTGGATGATGTTGCCACAGGTGCTCAACGAGGTCATCTCGAAGTTGACTGTGAATTTCTCTGTCCTTTATATTTTTGTAATTCTTAATAAACTCCTCAAGTTCAGGTGTCGCATCATGAGAAATCTTCACATTTTCTCCCACTCCATCATAAATTAAATCATGTTCCTCATCGCGCTCATCCTCAACTATCATGTTGTGCATAATGACACAAGCTCGCATGATTTTTCCGAGGGTGTCTTCATCCCAAAATCGAGCCGGTCCCTTGACGATTGCGAAACGAGCCTGTAGAACCCCAAATGCTCGTTCAACGTCCTTCCTACAAGCTTCTTGGGCAGTTGCAAAATATTTCTTCTTATTACCTTGTGGTTCAGGTATGGTCTTCACAAATGTAGCCCAAGAGGGATATATGCCATCGGCGAGATAATAACCCATTGTGTATTCGTTGTTATTAATAGTATAATTCACCTTTGGAGCTTGACCTTCAGCTAGCTGTGCAAATAAAGAAGACCGGTGCAAAACGTTGATGTCGTTGTGGGAACCAGGCATCCCAAAGAAAGCATGCCAAATCCAAAGATCTTTAGCGGCCACAGCTTCAAGTATAATTGTAGGCTCATGCACATGCCCGGTGTACATACCTTGCCATGCTGAAGGACAATTTTTCCACCTCCAATGCATGCAATCAATCGAGCCAAGCATACCAGGAAAACCTCTACTCTCTCCAATTGCTAGTAACCTAGCAGTATCATCTTCATTAGGTGATCTCAAGTACTCATCTCCAAAAACCTCCACAACAGAACTGACAAACCTTCTCAGACTCTCAATAGCAGTACTCTCGCCAATACGCACATAATCATCTGTAGCATCAGCTGCTACTCCATAAGTTATCATCCGGAATGCTGCAGTGATCTTTTGCAGACTAGACAGCCCAAGTATACCGGCAGCATTTCTTTTCTGTACGAAATATTGATCATGTTGTTCTACGGCATTCCATATGCGTACAAACAGTGCACGCCTCATTCGAAACCTGTAATTCAAAAGTAATGAGACATATATATATATATATGGATTTATAAAAAAAAGTCCAAATAAATCTATTGTTTACATACCTTCGTCTAAAATAACTATGTCCGTAGGTAGGATCATCTGAAAAATAATCTTTGTACAACCTATGATGTCCTGCGTGTCTGTCTCGCTCAAGTACTCGATGCCCTAGGATAGAACCACGATGTTTTGTTTCATCGTCAGACTCATCGGCATTCATGGCCACATGAGTAACGGAGAGGAGGAATTCATCAGCATCATCATCTGACGACGAACTCATCACCAGCTGCATGGAAAGGCTTCGTCGACTCATACCGAATTCGTTTTACCTTTCTCACGACAACTCCAGCGAAGATGTCGACCTCTTTCCAGCGACGGCTTTGGAGAGTTTTTTGTGCGACGGCTTTGGAGAGTTTTTGTGCGACGATTTTCTGTGCGTGGATGGGCCCATGGCCTGTTTTAAAATATTAGGGACTAGTTATTAGCAATCTGCTGTGGGATGATAAGTTTTTAGGGAAGTTTTTTTTTAGGGAGAGCCCCAATACATTGTTTTGGGGAAGAATTTTTTAGGGAACTCTTGGAGTTGCTCTA